GAAGCCACCCAATTAAAAGATGGGCTAAAGATCTAAACAGAGAGTTCTCAAAGGAAGAAATAAAGCTGGCTAAGAAACATCTCGAAAAGTGTTCAGCATTGTTAGTTATTAGGGAAATGCAAATTAAAGTCACCCTAAGGTATCATCTTACCCCAATCAGACTGGCTAGGATCAAGAGAACAAATGATATCAAATGCTGGCAAGGATGTGGCGAAAGGGGAACGCTCATTCACTGCTGGTAGGATTGCAAACTTGTGCAGCCTCTATGGAAAACAGTGTGGAAAACTCTTAAAAAACAAAAAATGACCTACTATATGACCCGGTTATACCATTCCTTGGCATATACCCAAAGGACTCAACCTATTGTAGAGACACTTGTACAACCACGTTTGTTGCTGCTCTTTTCACAACAGCTAAGAGATGGAAGCAACCTAAGTGCCCCTCAACTGACAAGTGGTTAACAAAAATGTGGTATATTTACACAATGGAGTTTTACTCAGCAATAAAGAAAGATGAAATAATGAAATTTGCAGGTAAATGGGTGGATCTAGAAACTGTTATACTAAGTGAAGTAACACAGACTCAGAAAAACAACATATGTTCTCCCTCATATGTGGATCCTAGCACCAAATCCTTTTAAATTCCAGGTCCTTTTAATAAGATGATGCTATACAGCAGTCCCTTCTGCATGAAATAACTACCACCATCACGACTTCAGCTGAGCCTGATCACTAAACATTGTCACAATTGGGCTTGTTGACGGTTGTGCTCACTCATTAAAGGAGGGCCAAGCAATGTCACTGGACATTGCTTGAGTATGTAACTTACTGGAGTATCCAACCACTCTTCCCAGCCAACTGTATGTTATTTGACCCTAGTCACAAATGGCCTCCTGGATTTGGGGAGGACTAAAGTATACAGTCTGCAGAAGGCTAGGAAGAGAAGGCATGACCCATGCTGGGTAAAAACTTTCCAGTGTGGATACCCTCAGGTCATACATACACCTCAGCAGCCCCTCAGTTATCTTGGTAAGTAAGCTCAATAAATTCATTGGTTCCCAGTAAAACTTTAATCAAACATTGGCTCGACACTAGAACCTTGAAAGGGAATAAGCATTGCTTAGCATTCCAGGAAAAGAAGTTTCACAACTGATAGAAAATTTATTTGTTAATGGTATTATGTCTCATAATTATTTTTAAAAAATGAGAATGTAAAAGTTGTTAAAAGGACCGGGGAATGGACAAAATGGACAGAAAAAGTGAGAAAGGCTGAGCAAGTAATGAAGGTCTGTTTAGGTTTGTTATATATAAAGGATGAGACAATAGTATACACATAATCTTAAAATTTTTATGGTCATAGTTTAGTCAACTAGTTTAAGGAACAAAATATAAATCGAGTCAATGTTTATCTTAGAATATTTGGTTCTTTACCTAAGCCTTATCTACATAACATGTGATAATTAAAAGTATCAGACTGGTGGAACTAACCTTATTGGATGTGTAACAGCCATACTTTAAGGTGTATACTAATGTGGTCAGAAGGACTTAAAGGATAGTTTTTGCCCCTTGCCCTCCAAGATCGACCAAGTTCCAGGGGGCTATGGAACATCTCTCAAAATGTCCTGTAACTGTGGTGAGTCATCTGTCCTCTTGTTCAGGGAGGACACGGAGACCCCATGAGATGGACTTGAACCAGTGTCCAGTCTACAAAGAGGAGGGTCAACTCAAAGAAAACATCTCACTCATGCTTCCAGGTGAAGCCAGATATGGTCGAGAAGGACCTTTGACTTATCTTCACATAGATGGAACTGGTAAAAGAAAGGAGCCAGGAGCTCCTCCCAAGCCCATGTAATCCCTGAGGAACAGATCCTAAAATGACCTTAAGTGTAAAAATAAATTGATTTATTTGGGCTAACTGTACGGTTTTAAATACCCAAAAGGGAAGTATAACCAAAGAATAAAGCCATCAGTATACTTCTTTAAGAATTCAAGGGATTACACTTCCCAGACATTAGGCTTAAGTCTATTAAAAAGTTATTTAGACAATTATTTCTCATTGATGATTTTGTTCCTAACCAGAAAGTGCTGTTCAGCTGT